CTACAAAGATTGCATTTTAAAATCAATATGACATAAATTTACTAAATATATGCGCTTAAAAACTATAATTTTAATAATAATTATTTTTTAAATAAATATTTTTAAATTTTAAAATAAAGTTGATTTTACAAAATTAATCTGCAATTAATGAAGTAGAAATTTTACAATTAATATTTACAGATTGTTTCATTAAATATGTTAAATATTTCTTGAGTACAAATGGATCTCACAAATACATTTTTTATTTCTATTGTCATCTAACAAACGAGTTAATAATTTTATCAACAAGAAACAGGCCTCTGTCTAGGAATGATTCAAAAACGAATTGGTAAAATATATCTAAAATAATTTTTATTTAAAAAATCAGTTTTAACCAATATGAAATTATTAAAAATTAATTATCTTATTTCAGTTTTTACAAATCAATACTTTAGATTACCGAATAGAACTCATAATTTTATCGGGTCCCTATAATTTGTTATTTAACTAAAACGAATAAAAAAATAAATCCTACACCACACATTAAATTGTACGTAATTTTATTTAATATATATATGTCGGACCAAACCAAATTATTAACGACAATCGATCTGAATCCGGATACTCATGCCTATACATACTTGTGAATAATCGAACAAGAGCATAAATTTAAAGCAAAAACGGTTGACCCGCCCTCTTTAAGGGCGGGTCAAAATCTAGTAAAATATTAAACCACAACAATTTTATGTTGATTTTTTTAATTGTAATCAAGTCAAATAACATTATCATTGTTTATAATTTTGCAAGAAGATTTTTCGGAACTAACCCAAATCTAACGAGCCAGACCAAACTGACCACACATGTAGAAGCCACTTAATGTAATATGACCGATGAAAAACCAAACTTACATCTTTTGCCCTATATGCAGAGGACAAAATGATATGTATTGTCCTCACTGCACCGCCTGATTTATTCCAAACCATGAAGTAAACATATGCAATTTTTTGTGATATTGTAGGTTTGCTTTGCTCTACGTTTTAAGATCCATGATCAATTCAATTTGTAACTATGAGTGATTTATGTGGTGTCCCTGCGACAGTGGATGAAATTATTTTATTACACGGAAATTGATTTATCAGAATTATATACATATTTTACAATATATAAATTGTGAATGATGTCGTTGTGATTATAATTGTGGAACTAATAATGGTATTATATATATTTTTAGAGAAAAACTTAGTTCAGAAGTGGAAACATCATAGTAAAGTAGTATATGTTCTGCAAAAGGATTGTTGTTTAGGATTCTCTTTAACACATATTAAAATCTAACCAATGTTTTTTTTCTTTGCTTTTTATTTCAATTGTAACATAGAAATTTTAAAATATCTTAAAACCGTTCAATTCAGATCGATGACTCACTTACCGTACGAGACTAAATAAGAAATTTTTTACTTAATCTCTACAAAAATTAATATTAAGAAGGAAATTTTTTTTTGACATCGATAGGGGATCAATTTTTTAAAGAAAACAACATTGAAAACTATTTGAAACCTAACAACATTTCAATTAAACTATTTAATATAGAAACAACTACTGTAGAGAAAAAAAATCTTACCATTTATAATCTCTCGCCTAAGATTTTCTAAAAGACAAAAATCATTATCATACACATCTATTGCAAATGAAAAACCTAAAATACAAACCACAAAATCATACAAAAATAGTAATTTAGATCACAAGTAAAGTATATCCCGCCCGTATGGCGGGCCAAACCTAGTAAAGTTATATAATTTTTTTATCCCCTTCTTATTCTGTGAGGAGAACTTTTATAAATAAACTTTTATTTCATATATGATTAACAACTTTGCCATTTTTTAGGTGTCAACACCTTATTTCACATCACAACCTTTTTTTTCAATAACCCTCTTTGGTCTAGACTAATTACATGTCATGCTATTAACAAATCAATCTACAAAGTTATTTTATTATATGTTTTTATATATATGCATGTTGAAGACATAAATCATCCCGAAAATGTATCATCGTGACATTAGAACTAAATAACTCGAAAACAGCTATGTTATTTTTATCAAAGCATTAGAACTTATAGGTTTTAATCATGCATATAGATCCAAATGACTCGAAAACAAAATATGTTATTTTTATATTCGAGTAACAATTTGTATGTTAATTTTCATAGTTCATATGTATTATATTATTCGAGTAACATATAGTTTAATATAGAAGTGTATTTTTATATTAACATTAACATCTATCTTATCTTCATATTCACGTTATCTATATAGAAATAATTTATTTACATGTAAATAAAATATGCAAATAAGTGTGTATCATATAAATAAATGTATATAAAAAGTGTTATTTTTATGATCATGTTATATATATAGCAGGGCATATAAATGTCAGCAACATATAAATAAGTGTATATCAAACTATATGTTATTTTATTTATGATTTACATTATATATAATGTTACATATAAATAATAAATAAGTGTAACTGAAAATACTGTATTATTTATTCGAGTAACATATAATAAACTATATATATAATTTATTCGATATATAGTTTACTATAATAAAAATAAATCATAAGCATAAATTAAAGATTTATACAATACACAACATAGTAAATTATATGTATTATTCATGTAATTATGATAATGGTCATTACCGCTATAAATGGTAATAAACATAAATTATGTTACTAAATTTAGCAGTCAAAAAGATTTTATTCCAAATTTAATGTTTAATCATAATTTTAAAATTGTTGGTGTAGATACATACAGTTAAAATGATTTCTATTTTCTAAAATAGAAGAACATTAAATATGGTTAGTTACTAATCAATGGAATTTTGATTATTTTATATATGTTTCAATTGATTTCTTACCAATTAACATAAATGCACTAACATAAATTCAATTAAAATAAATGCGTCAATATTAATATAAAATTCAAAACTCAACTCATACTAAATTTAGTATATTAGAAATAATTAAATATTAAATATGATAAGTGTATATCAAATTTAATCTTTCATATGTTACGATCATATACAAAATCCACAAGTATTATAGTGAATGCCTAAAAATCAAAAACTCAAGCCATACTAAATGTAAAGTATTAGAAATAATTAAAAATTAAATAGGTTAGGAAAAAATTATACTCTTAGTTTTTGCCCGAAACATAGCCGGACCTCTACGATATTTTAGTAACCATGAAACATAAATGCACTAACTTTTAATTTTATTTATTATATTAAGAATATTTTACATTACTTACATAGTATTAACTCTCTATATCTAAGCATTAACTCTGCATATTTTTTTGTCTCTTTAGCTTTTCGAAATTAAAATCGGAAACATGATCAATTAGGAATTCTATACAACTATATTATCAATCAGAACATGATCAATTAGGAATTCTATACAACTATATTATCAATCAGAAGATATGTAATTAGCGCAAAATATACTAACAATTTATGGTGATAAATTTGTATCCGAAATACTATATATATGGAGTCGATACTATGCCTACAACTCCACCACAACCCAAGTGATTTAAAAGTATCATTCAAAATGCAAGACTTGAATTCATCTCTGATTTAAAACCAAAGAAATCTCTATGGAAGATTAAGGTAAAAGTCATTTGACTTTGGAAGCAATATGGTGGAGAGACCATAGAAAGGTTTTTGCACTGAATGAGATTTGAAGACAATTATCATATTATTGGTGTTTTATTTTTCTATTACCTATGTTGCTTTAATTATTATCATCATAATTTTATTATGAATGCAATAATTCTATTACATATTTTGTTTTTTTTTTAATTCATAATAAATTTAAAGAGATCTTTATTTACTTTTATATTAATGTAGGGGATTGTTGGAACTCTGAGCGTTTCTGATTTTCCGGCGACTTTTCAGGCTAACCGGTGGTTGTTCCGGTCAGATCATCAGCTCGTTGTAAGACTTGTAACGAGTACTACAACGTGGTATATTCACACTTTAAAAACATATCAAAATTGAATAAGAAATGAAACTTTGAAGTTGGTATCTTGGTGTGGACAAAAACTAAAAAACCCAGTTTTTGAGTTTGTCCCACATCAGCCAGCAAAGACAAAATTGAGCAGTATATATATGCTCAAGTGTTAGGAGGTTGTAAACGACTCAGGGTGAGAGATGGTTCCCCACGCGCGCGCCGCTGCCGCCCGGCCGACTTTGTATGGGCTTGGACTTGGGCTTGGGTGTCGGGCGATAAGAAGTTATCTTTTTGGACCAAATTAAGCCTAACGCTTTGCCATTTTAAAATTAAAAATCAACATGACGTTTATGAATAAATAGCACGCAGTTTGGGTAAAGACCACACGAAGTCTATCTGTTTGCCAATCAATTTGAACGAGTCAAATAAAAGAGAAGATCTTGCGGAGAAAGTTTCTCAGCTTCCACTCCTGAGATCTCAGCGAGATTTTCACCCACTTGCAGCAGTTGTTGCGGGAAGTGGGTCTTCTCCGTCTCTTTAAATATTGCCTCTCCTCCTTCTTCATTTCAAACTTTTTTTTGTGACGCAAGCAAAAACCAGCAAATCTCCCAGAGTAAGTTTAGAGAGTGTTTAGTAGAAATATTAGTTCGTCAGAGACGTTCACGAGTGAGAGCGTGAATCGTCTATCATGGTTTTATCATGGGACTCTAATTCGTATAAGTCTGTCTCACTGCGGAGCAAATATTAAGAGGTTAAGGAAAGAGATTCGTCTCGACTCCATGCCGGTTTTATAAACGTTTTCGTAATCGGTTTCATATCGTCTTTCCAATCGTTTATTTCCTTATCATCGTTTAAATTTATATCGTTTCTGTCAATTCGATTTTTTGGCTCCTACAACCACAACCTCGTCTTTACATGTCTTTAGTGTACAACATGGATTTCTCAAAATCTCTACTTCTATCATCCATTCCGACTCCAGCCACATTCCCGTCGTAAAAGAGTCTTTTCTCACAATGCTTCCACAATATTTCACTCATTTTTTTATTGGCCATGACCCTGTCGGCGATCAGTACAAAATACTATGCGTAATTACAGGCTTACCTTGTCAAGAAGAGTTAGAAGAAGATGAACAAGTAGAATTAGAAAGTATTCCCGAGTCAATGACAGAGCACTGGGTCTTTGCACTAGAAGCTGGTGGTTCGTGGAAAAGGGTTGCAAAGGACTTTCACACTCATTATCCTTCACCTATACAAGTGACTATGAACGAGTTTTTATATTATTTGACTTGGGATGATTTGCATACTTGTGATCTTGTGAGTTTCAACATCAGGTCTGAAGAGCTGAGTATGATGCTGGAGATGGGATATATAAGTTTGACAAGCAGTTGAGTCTAATAAACTATGGTGGAAAATTAGCAGTCTTTGACAACTCTTTTATCAAAGAGAAGGGTATGGCTGATCTGTGGGTTGTGGAAGATTGGAGAAACAAGGAATGGTCGAGGAAGACTCTGTTTTTGCAGCCTTCTCAAATGCATTTAGTCCTCACAATAGATTCAGGGTAAAAGGTACAACTCAAGGTCAGGTTATATTTGTACCATTATGTTTGATTTCTCCCTTTTACAATCGTTCTTGTAATTATCTGTGAGGAAATATCAAGGAAGTAGGTATACGGAGAAAAGCAGCAGCCATTCCACCTTTTTTTGCTAGTTGATTTCAACATTCCTAGTCAACGTTCTGTGTTCAATGTATACAAAGCTTCTGTGTAGTTTCTTTCCTCCACATAGCTTTAAAGTTTTGTAATACTGATCGTCTGTCCAACATACTAACTAATGGATTCTTCTTTTTTTCTTACCACTCTTGCTGCTGCAATAGGACTCTTAACCGTTGTGAGAAAACTTCGGTTCCATCATGATGATAACAATCAAAAGAATCTTTCTTATAAAAATTATTTTATGTGTTATTCTTTATTTTTGGTATTTTTATATTGTAAATATATATATTGAATAATTGAGAAATCTGTAACTCTTATATATACAATTAACTTAGCGCGAACACTAAAATAAAATAATTATATTTTTGTTTACTCATTTTATATAAGTAAATCTAATTAATAAATATTAACACATATATATATATATTATACTTTTAATTTGACTATCTAATAAATGAATCTTCACACTTACATAATTTTATGATCATTTATATATTTTTATAATAAAAATTTTAAACCATTGATAACATCATTTTTAGTGTAAGAGATTTAATATTTATAGTAATTCACCATCGTTTAAAAAAAAATTCAAAGTTTGTTACTGAAGTTTTAAGTTCTCAATACTTGTTCAATGCAATTTTGGAATTAAATACTTATGTATTTTTAAATGGTATCTACTCTATTAAAATAGAGTCATTGTTTTTATCTATTTATAAGTAGTCTATTACCTAGGATCATTTATCTATAATCCTAATCCTAACAAATATGAATATATGTATAACAATATGTAGTCCTTAAAAATAGCATATATTTTTGTTGGTGATTTATATTTGTATATACTGCCGATGTATATTGCCTTAACCTTTTGTTAGTGATTTATATGTGAACGCAATATACAACCTTTATATAATATTAGATAATAGTATAAATATATGCTATGTTGTATATTGTCTTCAACCTTATATTATATTTGTATATTTGTATATCTACGTGAGATTTATATATAATTTTAATGATCGGAGGTTCATGTATATTACCTTCACATATAAATCACCAACAAAAGATTAAGGTTGTATATTGCCTTCAACATTATATTATATTTGTATATCTACGTGAGATTTATATTGTATAAAGGTTGTATGTTTCCTTCACATAGCATATATAATATTACGTTTAATATTATGTCGATATAGTACGTATATAAAATATTTCATTTAATATATTTCTTAACTTTGGTCTTTGTGTATTAGAATCAACTAACCTAAACATAGCTAAAAGAGTATATATAGGTATATTAATAGAGTATATATAGGTATATCAAAACGGATATATCAAAACTGAATAGATGTTTGTTAAGCAATCTTAACGAAAAAAAACTAGAATAACTTTGAAATCCTGTTTATATTCATTTAACCAACAATACTGTATAAAATAAAATTCGTTGTATTTCAGGTTGTTATATAAAAACAGATTATTTTGGATTAGCGAATTCCACCAACAACTATAACGATTTTTATCGAACAGATTATTGTTTTCAAATAATGTTTTATAGATAATCAAAACCAATTGTGAATATATTATTCCTAAAATCCTGGTATCCATATAATATGCTCTTTCTATCTACATTCTTAAGATTTCATATCTTAACTTCATTTAATAGGTCCTACAAAATATGGAATTTGGAATATACTTTCGATCTAATTTAACAAATCGAACAAACTATCTACTCTATTAAATAGAGTCACTATTTTTATCTACTACAAAGAAGTCATATAGGACCATTTCACTAATTATTACTTAGTATGACATATTAAATTATTTAGGTTAATCAATCAAATATATATCATATATGCTGAAAATAATAGATTTACATTTTATTTTTAGTCTAACAGAATCGGTTGAGATAAAATCTAACAAAATCTTACTAAAAATTTAAATATTTTTTTATTAAATAACATAATAATGAATTTTGTAGTTAATAATATCATACTATTATACATTAATACTAATTAAATTTCACTATACTAACAAAAAAAGAATTCTATATTATTTTATAAATTTCATATTATAGTCTATGTTATATTAAAATAGAATTGCACTATGAATTAAATAAAATAAATAAAGTTGGTAAATGAAACTTTATTTTAAAATTTATTTAACTTAAATAAAAAAATTATTCACCATTAAAAGGATTAACATCATAAATTATGTATATTTTTATACAAAAATGTTAGCATAATGTTAAATTTTTACTATATCTTATTTTTTACTTAATTTAAAACTCACAAAAACATATTATCTAAAATGATTATATAAAAAATATAATAGTATATAACTAACTTTTAGTTCATGTGTTATTTTAAAAAGATAGGATATTAGAAAATATAAAAATATTAGAAAAATATTTTTAACTGAAAATTTAATATTTTTATTATAAAATAATATGTTGAGAAAATATAAAAATATAAAAAAACATTTTATATTAATAATGTGGAATAACAAAGTAAAAAATTAAAGAATATAATATATTAATAATGTTGAATAAAAACCTACACCAATTAGATTATAAATTTACACAATATATAACATAAAATATAAATTATATATTTAAAACATTTATATTAATATTAAATATTTTTTTAAAAATGAAAAATATACCCGCACGAACGTGCGGGTAAAAACTCTAGTCTTATATATTAAAACAGAAGTCATGACTTCTTTCATGTGTGATATTTCATTTTGGACCATCTATTAGAGAGTTTATTAAACTTTATATCATTTAACTATAATATCTTTTGATATCTTATTTTTATTTGAACTACAAATATTTTCAAGAAAATTCTAACAGAATCTTCTTAACATCTTTTAAAATATTTTTAAACTACAATTTCGAAAATTAGTTAAATTTAAATTTCAAATAATATTAATGAAATTATAAATTAAAATTTGTTTTAGTTTTCATTTCTAGACGTAAATTAAAATTATCTAAAATATTTAATATAAAATCTTCTTAAAATTATAATTTGAGTATAAATCATGATAGAATGAATTTTTTCTTTGTACTTTAAAAAAATTATGTAAATATTTATAATTTCGAATTATTAATGAATATAATTGTAAATTAATATATATTTACTTATCTTTTTATGAAATGAAAAATAAAAATTATGTCATTTTTATCTATCCTTTATAAATTCATAATCTATCACACTAAAATAAAAATACTATAGTGAAATACATTTAGTAAACTTATATTAAATGGATAAATTAATCTATTTTAATTTCATAAATAAAAAATATTAGTATTAAAATATAATATGCTGTAAGAACAAGTTAACATTAGTAATTATATAATACATGTATAAAATTAACAGATAAACCTTTATATTACAAACATAAGAAAATTAGTAAACAGTAATCCAATTACTTTAAAACCGTGATGCTAATTTAGTATAAATTAAATATAATTAATTTATAATTTCATTACAGTAAATAGGATTTTTCATTCATATATTAATTTATTTAATAATCAAATGCATTCAAATCAATATATAACTAGATCTCGACCTGCACAACCGTGCGGGTATTTTAGTACGAAAATATTTGAAATTATATAATAAAATTTATCAATAAATAAATATAATTGTATTCTTTTGGTCAAAAGTCTCCTAAAGATGGTTTTGAGAATCTTTCTCAAGAAGTTACAAGACTTGATGGTGAACTCCCTTTGGGGCTAAGGGTTATGGGTTCCTACTTCCGGGGAATGTCCAAGCAAGAGTGGATAAACTCGTTACCAAGATTGAAGACTAGTCTTGACTCTGACATTCGAAGCATTTTGAAGTTCAGCTATGATGCATGCTTTAGATGGTGAAGATAAATATTTATTTCTTCATATACTGTGCTTCTTCAGCTCTGAAAAGATTCACAAAGTGGAAAAGCATCTTGCAAAGAAGTTCTTGGAAGTGAGGCAAAGACTTGACGTTTTAGCTGAGAAATTCTCATCTTTTTTGACTCAGGATGTATAAAGATGCATATTTTGCTCAAAAAACTAAGTAGAGAAATTGGTTGTAAGCAATCTATTCATGAGCCTGGACAGCGCCAGTTTCTGTACCTTGATCGAGAAATTTGTGAAGTACTGACTGGTGATGCATCACCCCCTGCAAATTTTAGCATTTGTACATTTTAGCTATAAAAACTGATCTTGCCAGTTCTGTTTGTTTTCTTTTTGAAATGTGGTTCTTATCTTACCATGTTCTTGTTATTTGTCAGTACAGCCGCTCCGAAGTTTGAAGTGGATGGATTTAAGTTATTCAATAAATTTGAAGGAGCTTCCTGATCTCTCAACGCCACCAGCCTTGAGAAATTAAATCTGAATGCTTGATGAAGGTCCCACCCGCTATTGGATATACCAATAATCTTGAAAAACTGAATTTTCGTAATTGATCGAGTTTAATCAAACTCCCTTCCCTGAATGGAAATGATGCCACTAGTCTGGAGAAACTATATATATGTGGATGCTCAAGTCTTGTGGAGTTTCCCTCCATTATTGGGAGTGCTGTTAATCTTCAAGAATTAGATCTTAGTAGTTTCCCAAATCTGTTGGAACTCCCTTCCTATATTGGAAATGCCACAAACTTGGAGAAGTTGGATCTTAGTAAGTGCTTAGATCTGGTGGAAC